AGTGGAATTAAGTTTCATAAGTGATATGATGATCGATTTTTTGGACTGAAGGTTGCAATCATGATACATCTAGAATCAGAGGTGTTGATATTGAACGGGTGTGTTGTTAATCTCCAATATGGTGGATCTAAGGGGTGCTTGCACTGTTAGCAATTCAACATCCAAGTCAATTTTTAATTCAAGAATAATTATAGTGAGAGTGGAGATTAGATATTGTATACTTGAAACCCTCTTAGAACTATATTTATATTTTGGACTCAATGGTGCGGTCGAGATGAGTGAGTTTGATCTTATTAGACATGTGGACGGTCTAGAACAATTGCCTCAAAGACTCGTCGGACATTAGGATGTCGAGGGAGTTCTTTAGTAGTCGTGGTCGGCCTTCAGGAATGATTGTCCTTGCGTCGGCAGGTATGCATTGCTTTGATTTTGCCAAAAAAAGGTGATGGAGAACATGGACATTAAATGCAGTCTCATCATTGAAATGTTTCATAGTTTTCCCCTTGAAGAGTGACCATTGTTTAATTTTAAATAGTGTTATATTATTATTATTTTTTATTATTATTACTATTATTATTATTGATTATTTTTATTGATGTTGGAGTATTTTAAATAGTTAATTAAATGTTTTAATTAATTAATTTTATCTAATTAGTTTTTTTTAGATGATTGAGTTTATTAGAAAAATTAGAGATTTGTGTTAGTTTAATTAAAGTATAGTAATTTTTGAATTAAAATAAAATGATAGAAAATAGAATTTTATAAAAATAAAGAGAGTAAAGGTGTAAGGAGAATTGAGGGGCGAAAGAAGAATGGATAAATTAGGATAAATAAATAGAGAGAATGAGGTAGAGTTTTGTACCGTATTTGTAAAACTTGAGAAAATAGACAAAGAGACAGAGCTTAGGAAGGAACCTTGAAGAGTAAAGAAGAATTTCAAAAGACCAAAAGTTTTCATCGATTTGCAAATTAGGGGGAGAATTATTCTTATGCGGGTCAGAGGGATAGTGAGGGTTTCTTACCCTTCTTCTTCTCCATGTTCTTTCTCTGTACTTGATATTTGTGGCAAAAAGAAAAGTTTGGCAAAACCTTTGAGGCGATCGATTGATAATATTTTTCTCTCAAATATAATGTAAATTTTTAGTTTATATGTACTCTGATTTTGATAACCCTGTTGATGCTTTTTGATAAGGAGAATTTATTTAATGAACAATAGTTACCCATAAGGTGAGAACATATGAAATTGTATAATTGGAATAGCTGTACCTTATTTGTAGTAAATCGCAGGTTGACATAAAAGGGATTTATTGCCTTGTTTTAGGCGTAACTTGAGTTTCATAAGTCCGTTTGAGGTGTCGTCAGTTGTGTTAGAAAGCTAATGCAATAATCTTTCTTTTGAAGTAGGGAAATTGGGTCTAAGAGCTCTACAACAATAGTTGATCTCTGGTTTTATACCTGATGTAACACCTCATTTAAATATTTAGTCATTTTGTGATTTTATTCGTATAATTATTTTGACATTGGTTTAGTTGAGGGTATGTGTGTAAGGGTGAGTGTGAGAGCTTAGTGTAATGAGTTAATTAAGATTAAAACTTAAGATTATGATAATAAATAATACTAATGATGATAGATGAGATATTTACTAATAGTCCCTAATAGTAATGGTGATGATATTATTAATATTATTATTATTATTATTATTATTTATTATTATTATTATTATTATTATTATTATTATTAATATTATCATGATTATTATTATTATTAAAAATAAGGAAATAAACCATAATTAGAGAGAAGTGGAGAAAATAGATCAGAGTGGTCAGTTACACGTGAAAAGAGAACAAAGAGAAGAAAGAAGCAGAATTAAGGTAAGAGAGAAGAACAAGGTTCCACCATTTTTAGATAGCAAGCTTGAAATCAAGGTAAGGGGGAGAATAGGTTCATTAATGGTGTTTATCAAATGAGAGGGTGGTGAGGGTTCCTTTCTCTCTAGGATTTTATGTGCATTTCCATGTGTATTCTTCTTCTTTCTTGTTTGATTCCATAACTGTGTGATTGCTTATGTGAATTCGTATCTGTGTATTGATGTGGGTACAAATCTTGTGTAAATTCTGCATTATTGTTGTGTTCTACCATGAAACGGATCTGAAAAAATATGGGCTTTTGGGTTAATGAAAATGGGTTTCGGATTGTAGGAAATTTGGATAAAATGATAGAGTAATGAAGTAGAATAGAGACTTTAAGATTATACTAATATTTTTATTGTTCTGGATCAAAAAAATAGAAGTTTGAAAGTGCTCCAATGGGGGGAACATCGCACTAATGCGAAAAACGGATTTTTTTGCAGCAGGGGTATCGGCGTAAGGTACGCGCCCTATCCCATGGCCAGCACGACTTTCTGGCCGTACGCGTAAGAGACGCATAAGGGGAATGGGGTAGCCATTACGCGTATGGGGGAGTTCTTGGGAGGATTTTGAAGGGAAATTACCCCCTGGTCATACGCGTAAGGCCTAACATTTATGCGTATGAAAGCCTACGAGGTTTGGAAATACTGTGTTGTACATGTGTAGTCATTTGAGGAGAATGAGATACATAAGGAGAGATATGTGTGTGGATAGGTTAAGGTGGGGAGGTAGGAATGGTTTTTGTAGTGGAGACTGATGTTTGGGATGGGGAATTTGTGTGGTCCACGGTGTAGGCTGAGAGGAAAAGGAATGTTAGGTCGTAGGTAATAGTTAAGATAAAGAGGTTTGTTGAGTCGAGGAGAGCGTTAGGGAGGCTGAAGGTGTTGGGACCGTGAGTGTAGGTTGAGAGGTAGAAAGAGTTTGTTGGTCGATAGTTATGTGGGGAGAAGATGTCATTTGAAGTGTAGTGTACAATTATATGGGAAGGAGGGGGACTATGTCGTCATCTAGAAAGTTATAGTTATTCATTGTATGAGCATTCATGGTACCAAAAGGAAATGTATTTTCTTCAAAAATAACGTATGGGAAAGAATGATTTTACGACTTGATAATTAATAGGAAAAATACCCAAATTTGTCCCTTAAGTTTACCTCGGGGTCCAATTTGGTCCCTTAATTTTAAAAAGTTTTAAAGTGATCCCTTAAGTTTTAAAATGGTGCCACGTTAGTCCTTACCGTCAACACCGTTAGTCAAAGTCAATGGGATTATACAATTGGAGCACATGTGGGGCTAATGTGTAAGTATTCATGCCATGTGGATGCCATGTGGAATGTGTAAGCCTAAAAAAGAAATGGGAAGTGAAACGAAGGCATTGTTCTCAAAAGGAGGAAATGAAGTAAAGGAAGTGGAACCCTAGCGTAGCCATTGTTGCATGTTGAAGGTGGTTCTGTTGTGATTTGACACAATCTCTACTCTTCAAGTTGAAATCGAAGACAACCAGGTATGGCTTCTAGTGATTTAAGTGCAATTTTTTTATTTGTTTTAGGGTTTTTATAGTTTTAGGGTTATCAATTTCGTATATGAAATTTGTCTTTTTTTCTGCGCTTCTTTTTAGGACATGGGACATAGGTTGAAATGGCTGAGTATTTGAACCTAAAAATCCACCACAGTGGTGAATTTGTTGATGACGAATTGAGTGTGCACGAAAGGGGTCAGGTTGTCGAGTTAAAAATAAATGTTGATAGATGGAGTTATTTTGAATTGTTAGGATATTTTAAGGATTTAAGGTACAATTCGATTGAGAATATATATTATAGGGATCCAACCTTTGGGATGAACTTGTTGGTTGATGACAAAGGAGCCCTAGAGATTGTTGATCTCTATAGGGTGCATCTTAGTGTTGATATCTATATTCAACACACATTGTCCCCATTTTAGAAGGCTATACATATGCTTTGCAGCTTGTAAAGAAAGCTTCAAATTATGCAGATGTTTCAATGGCCTTGATGGATTTTTTTGAAAGGGCTATGTGGAGGTCAAATCTTGACAACCATAGGTAGAGATCCAAATGATCAAATGCTACCAATAGCATTTGCAGTAGTTGAAAGTGAGAATAAGGATAGATGGACATGGTTCTTGGAGCTGCTTATTGATGACCTTGGTGGGAGAGAAAAGTGTCTCACATACACTTTTATATCTGATCAACAAAAGGTATACTTATGTTATTTCAGTTATGCTTATGTTCTTACTTGTTATGTTTATGTTCTTACTTGTTATATTTATGTTTTATGTGTTTTTAAAACTAATTGCACATGGATTATTACCTGCCATGGATGAACTACTACCTAGAGTTGAGCAAATATTTTGTGTCATACATCTCTATAACAATTTCAAGAAAAGATATCCTGGTAAGATGTTGAAGGAAATCATTTGGAAGGCAGCAAAGTCAATATACTACCAAGCCTGGGAAAGAGAGATGAAAGGAATGAAGGATGTTAGTGTAGATGCCTACAAGCACATGATGAGCACCCCACCTAGATTTTGGAGTAGATCATACTTCAAGACACATAACAAATGTGATGTTTTTCTCAATAACATGTCTGAGGCATTTAATAATGTAATTCTGGATTCTATAGCCAAGCCATTGATAACCATGGTGGAAGAACTAAGGACATACATGATGGAGAGACGTGCAAAAAATAGGATGAGGTTTCAGAACATGGCAGATGTTGAAGTGTTACCAAACATAAGAAGGAAAATTGAAAAAACCAGTTCATACACAAACGTTTGGCTTGTCAGGTAATATACGTAAACTTAACATAAGTTTAATACTATGTCTGGTGAAGTGTTTCAAACTACTATGTTTGATGATCATATATTTATGTTTTAGGATGCCTGATGAGCATATCTTTGAGGTTAGGCACCTTGAAAACCAAGCTGACAGGTTTTCAGTAGACTTGAAGGAGCATATTTGTTCATGCCAAAGATGGGAACTGACATGCCTACCTTGTGTTCATGCACTGTCAGCTATAAAGAGTAGGAACTATAGAATTGATGACTATATTCCAGATTATTACAGAAAAAGCAAGATATATGGAAGTGTATAAACATGTTATTTTTCCAGTTAATGGCTCAAACCTTTGGGTAAGGACTAAGTATCCAGATGTGCAACCACCCAAATATATGAAGATGCCTGGAAGGCCAAAAAAGAGAAGGAATTTAGAGCAGAGTGAGATTGATGGTTCAGATAGAAAAATGAGAAGGACTGGTTTCAATGTTAAGTGTAGCAGATGTAAGAAATCAGGTCACAACAAGCTTACTTGCAAGGTGACACCATCTAGCCAACAACCATCCCAACAGCCAATTAAGAGGGGCCAATAATTTACTTCAACATCTCAAGAATCTCATGGAAGGGCCAAGAAGTTACTAATCAGAAGGCCAACTAAGTCTTTTATAGCACCGGGACCTACCAAAAGACTGAGTGCAACCAAGATTGTTGTTGGGTTGACAACAAGGAGATTAACACCTACTAAAAGATCAACACCAACTAAGAGATTAACACCAACTTGGAAAATTTAGTTTAAGTTTGTGGCATTTTGTTATGTTCACTTTGTTAGTTTAAGTTTGAACCTTTAGCATTTTTTTTATGTTCACTTTGTTATCTGTTATCTATCACATGCCATGACTTGTGTATTTTGGCTATGACTTATTAATCTGTCACAATCTATGACTTATTGTAATACCCCGAATTTTGCCCTAAGATTATTAGTTTCATTTCGCACGTCATCTCATTCGCATTGCATTTTAACTAGTCACTAACAAGTTCTTGTAGTTGGTCGATTTTTACATGGAAATATCAGGTGGTGCGCTCTTTGGTTCATGAAGGGTAAAACGGTCATTCATTTTCAACCGGCTGTCAATTTACGAAATTTGAGCTGTAGTCAGGAAATCTGAGCCGTTGGATTGTTGATGTGAGTCGGGGCCGAGGTGTAGTTGGAACTGTTCGATTGAGAAAGATTTGAGTTGTTCAAAAATAAATTGAATCAAGTTAGTGGATTGAAGTTAGTCGGAGAATACGATCATTTGAGTTAATCAGACAATTGGATTTATCCGGATAAAGTTGCTCATTTGAATGGCAAGAAGATTTCATCGGAAGTTATGTCGGGAATGTGATTAATCGGTTAAATTGGAATAACTAGGAATTAAGAGAAAAAAAGGGTTTTTCATTTCAATTTTCATTTCCTATTTAAAATTAATTTCATCAATCATGTGTCATTTTTTTCATTCATCATATTTCATTTTTTAAATTAATTTCATTGCATTTTTAAAATCAATCATATATCATTTTTTAAAAATTAATCTCATTTTTAAATCAATCATTATTTCATTGTTTAAAGAAAAATCAATTTCATTTCTATTTCATTTTTAATTTTAGTCTCATTTTATTTTTAAATAATTTCATGTCATTTCTATTTTTTATTTTAAATTAATTTCATTTTTCTTTAATATTATTTTCATTCTATACATTTTTATGCTAAGTTTTAGTTTTTATTATTATTTGCATATCAAAAAAATAAAAAAATAATAATAATATTTAAAGAAAAAAATAAATGATTTTTATTAGAAATAATAAGAATTCTTTACAAATAATAATAATAAATAAATAAATAGAATTATTAATTTCAATTTTATTTTAATTTTATTTTAATTATTTAAAATTCTGTAATTATAACTAATATTAATTTAAGTTGGGCTTTAAAGTGGGCATTAGGTTAGAGTTAATCCTAATTTGTTACCTAAATAAACATAAGTGATGGGAGAAAACTTCATGAACATCAGAAAATCAAGAACAGATCATCAGAGGAAGAGGGGATTCTTTCGGAAGAACCCTAAAAGGTTTGAATTCATCATCGGCCAAGCGCTACCGGCGAGCAAAAAGTCCCAACGACGGAGGCTCAGTTCGTTCAACATCATCGATGTTACCGTAACCTTTCTCTTTCCTTTGATTTACGGTATTTTACGATTTTTGTGTGTTGTTTTGTTCATTGATTGTAGATTAATGGGAAGAATAAATAGAAGAAAGAACCATTGACATGCAAGGATTGAAGGAGAGGAAAAGCTTCGATAGCCATCCATGGAGAAAACGGCAGAAGCTTTTTTATTTACATTTCATTTGTTTTTTTATTTTATTATTCAATTGTTTATTTTTTTCATTTATATTAACTATGTAGTTTGTAAGTAATAATGCAATTAAGTTTAGGTAAGCTATTTCAACAAAAAAAACATAACGTAATTATTTTTTTAAAAATTAAGATCTTTCTAAAAAGTTTTTTTCAAAATTAAACCATTTTTTATTTAAAAACATATTTCTAAATAAAACAGTTTTTCTAATTAAAGCTTTTTTTCAATTAAAACCATTTTTCATTAAGTTAAAACAAAAATTAAAAAATGACCTTTCTTTCACTAAAACAAAAATTAAAACCTTTTTCGTTGAATTTAAATCAAATTTTTTTCATTAAAATTTAAAACATTTTTTTCATTAAAATTTAAAACATTTATTTTCGATAAAATTAAAACATTTTTTTTCTAATAAGATTAAAACATTTTTACAATAAAATTAAAACAAATTTTTAATAAACAATTGGAATAGCTTCTCCATTAAAACATAAAATTAATCCTCATCTTTTCAATACAAATTCAAAAAATAAAGTTCTTGAGTTAGTTGTTTCCTTTTCGTCTGACGCCCATTAGTGTTTGTTTCAGCTTATTGTCTTCTCATATATTCGTATTGTTTCGGTTTCATGGATGTAATTTATGCGAGGCCATGATCGCAGTTTTTTTATTTTTGCATTTGTTTTTGGGATTTGTAATTTACGCGAGTGATCGCCGCGATACTTTCTTTACCGCTTTCGTTATTTTCCCGCACTTTATTTTTGTCGTATGATAATTTGCTATATCTTGCATGTTTTTTTACCGTTAATCACTCTCCGAAGGAATTAGGTCTAGTCGTTTGACCACCAAGTCAATAGTCTTAACCCTTTGAACATTTTAAAACCCTAATAGCCTAGGCGTCCCGCCGTGGACGAAATTACCTTTTACCCTAGCATTAGGTCAAAGAGTCACCGTACTCTATTTTTAGGGTTTCCCGCCGTGGAATACCTAATTTTAAGCCTAATTTCAATTCAACATTTCAACATAGAAATAGGAGTTTCAAAACTCCACGTAAGTGTGTCCTTAAGATACGTTTACTCCCATTGAGACCTTGACCATAGTCAAGAAAGTTTCTAACCTCCCTTTCAAGGGAAACTACGATTACTCTGATTCCATTCCCTATCCATGATACGTAGGCACAAGATGCGAATCTTGCCGAGTAAACTTAGGACTAACCCTTAGGTCTTTTAGGTCACTCTATCCCTTAGCCCAGTATATATATTTCAAACAGATAATAAAATAAAAAAGCATACATTAAACAAAAGGTTCCTGTAGAGTACTACAGAAGTTTAGGGTGCTAGTACCTTCCTTAAGCTTAACCAACCCCTTACCTAGGTCTCTCCCCGCATTGTGTTTACGATGCAAAAATAGGTTTTCCCTCTTTTGACCTTTTCCTTCGGATAAATCAAAGAACGGTTGTGAATTAAGAATTGTGATTCAAACTAATTAATAGTTTGATATCCTATTTCCGCCGCTACAGAAAATGGCGACTTCACTAGGTAGAAGCCATAATTTTAAGGGTTATCCCTTCCTTGTTTATTGCATGCTATCTACTTTATTATTTGTTTGCTTGTATATAATATGTCCATATTGTACCTTACTTAGGGGGTATCTATTTTGTTGTGAGATAAGTCCTACACTCGGACTTGAGTGACCTTATTATAGGAGGTGGGATATTCGACGAGGCTTATAGGGAGTGATTCCCGACCAAGCTGACTCGAGAATCACCGCTTAGTTGAGAACCTTTCAAAAATGGTTCGGTTGAACGAGTATTCGTGAAAACTTTTACTATTGTCGATTGGAGTCCGTGATACTGGGGACCATAGTACCTTAACACCACCTTGGCCTTATATAGGACGTAGTGCGGGAATTATGTGGGAGTAGTCCTACAATGGTTGCTATGCGATGCTACACTCAAAAGAGGTTCTCTTGAGAATATTATCGACCCCCGAGTCAGTCGGAAGGTAGGTAATATCCGAAGGAAGGGCTGATGACTTTGGGCACTTCTTAGAACCTTGTTCGGCAGGTACAACTAACCTTAGTACATACCTTATGGGGATGGGTAGACCCTAACTCCTTGCACATACCTTTAACCTAATACTTGTGTATATATGTGCATTGCATCCATAAAGCATCATATTACATTACATTTCATGGAATTCAAATTTTATTTATGAATATCGCAGGATTATGGATTACAATCGAAGGAAAACTTTGAAATATACTTTTAAAAGTCTTAAGCTAGATGACCTAAGGAAGCTAGGATCTTTAATCAAAGGTCAAGAAGGATTCTGTAACCAGTATGGAAGATTGTTATCTCTGTTGGAATTTAAAGTGAACGAAGGACGTCTTTCGATTTTGCTACAGTTCTACGATCCCGATTTATTACCTACTTTAGAAGAATATTCTCAGCTTGTAGGGCTGTCTATGGTGGATAAGACTCATTTCCCTTTCTTGGAGAAGGACTCTAAAGAACAGGATATTGCTAAAGTCACGTGTTTGAAGGTATCTGACATCAAGGGCAATATGATCACCAACAGTTGTGGAAACTTTTCCCATGTACCCTTGCTTGGATTCAATGGAGGATTCATTTTCCTCAAACTCTCGATCAACCTTTTAAAGATAGGCGCGCAAAAAAAAAGGCCCAGCTAGAAGAGCAGAGCAAGGGGAAAAACAGGAAGCTTCCTTAGGATCATTATTAGCTTTTATTTAGCTATCATGCCAAGACTTTTCTAAGAATATTATTTGTAATCCAGTTTCAATTAATAAATAAAATTTCTTTGCTATTCTGCAATATTCGCAAATATTTGAATTCTATGAAATCATTTCATTCGCATTTTGCATGATATTTTGCATTTCATGTGTCTCCCGGTTTTCTCATACTCGGTTCTCTCGCCTTCCAGTTTCGTCACCCTGAGTTCTCTGCACCAGTACTACACTAGAGCTCAAGCTCGAAAGAGGATGGAAGACCAAGCTCGAGAATTTGATCGCGTCAACAAAGAACTAGCAGACCTTCGAGGGAATGTAAGGACAATTATGGAATTACTCCAGGTGATCAATGCAAAGATGGATGCTCAGCCGACTGTGGTTTCTGAGATCAACGCTACTGCTGCTGTAAATCCTCCGGTTGTTTCGGTTGAGAACCCATTTCCTTATGGTCTTTCGCAGAG